CTTAAATTGGAAAAATAAAAATGAGCATTAATCAGTATAGAAATCTTCTGCTAGATCGTTATAGTCTTGAAACAGCCTCTGCCGCCACATCAGATACCGACATCTGGTGAAAATTTCATGTCATTAGTACCTCTAGTAATATATTTACTGAGAAAAATGTTGACGTGTTCAATACTTATTTTACCCGCTGTATGAGTGCAGCGTATCAGATTACATGCAGGAAGGGTAGAGCGATAGGTTTGCTCAAGGGGAGGTTACTGGAAGTGCCCCTGCATTGCAGTGGACACTGTCAGAAGAACCATTTATAGTGAGATAAACATTTAATCACATGAGAAAACAGGAKCTGAGAGAGTTTACATCGTCCTTGAGACCTATCCTTCATGTTTTAGAGTTTTATTTTTGCTCCAACTCACCTGATTTGAATAAATGAGTGATTAACTGGCTTCTAAAGAACTAAAGTGATCATTCAATCACTGTATCAGGTGTGGTGAAGCAGGGAAACAAGTAAAACCTGCATGWGAGCGGCCTTCGAGGACCAGATGGACACCCCTGATTTAAATTAACATTTAATATCTTACCTGCTGTAGATAGCTTTTTGAACGACCTCAGTGAGAAGAAATTAAGTCTAATTAAGCTTAACTAGGCCTAGACCAAAGTGCATTACTGTCACTTTAAAATGACTCAACTCGTAAAAATCCTTGAGAAAACTATTGTATAAAGCTTTAATTTTAGTATCTCGTGGTTAGTCCAGCAGAAATGGGATGTTCACGAGGGAGTCACAGGCTGCCCATCAGCTAGGTGCTGCTGTTGCTAACTATGTTTAAAAAAATAGAATTCTATGTAAATAAACATATAATGTAAAAAGTGGTGTAAAAAACTATGAAACAGCGATTGAAGTAATTTTAGGATGCCAACAACACACGTTGTTCTTACACTTGATACAAGTTATACTTTAGCTTGTTAAGTCAATCACAAAAAAAAAACTCTTCAAATAGAGGCCGCTCAAAGATCTGCCTGCAACAGGTAAGATATTAACTGTTCATTACCTTTCCACACAACCCAACTTAAAGAAATCTGTAGTTATTTCAGCAAAATCAAAGTCTAATGGACACAGGAACAGGATGAAGGGAAACAGATGAAGAAAAAAAAAGTTAAACCTACAACTCTGTATCCCAGCTTTTCGCGAATCCACCCAAACAATTTAAAAACTTTAAAAAAGTTCTCAAAACAAACAAAGCTGAACGTCTTTTGTATGAAGACAGGACGTTTGAGCGCTAATTTAAAAAAAATCTCAATCTGTCAAAAAATTGTAGTAGTGTAGACGAGGTCTGAGTTTTTGTATAGAAAAAATGAAATTTAAACAAATAAATAAGTGCTTTCCAATAARGACACTTTTGCGAAAACGTTATTGCTGGTGACTGTGTGGACTGAAAAATAGAGCTATTCAAAAAGAAAAGAAAAGAAAGTTGCCATCTATTTTACATAGTCCTACATGTCAAGTTGTACTGTTTGTCTGTAAATTACACAAATTTTCCCCCATTTTGCAGGTATACGGACGAAAAGAGAAATCTCATGCGTTTTTTTTTTAAAACTCAGCTTGAAATTTGCTTTACGTCCCAGAGCCARTAGGATTTAAACAACAAAAAAAGATTGAATAACCATCTCCCAACCTGCTCCGCCTATAGAAATAAGTTCACCACCCCTCCCCGTCCTCCTTTCCCTGCTCCTCTTTTATCTCCACCCCACACTCTGTCTTTCACTATGGCCGACAGCCCACTTCACACCCCTGATTTTTTGTGAAATTACAGATTTTTGAGGGTTAAGATACAAGTAAATGTCCAAAGGGGTTGGCGTTCAATAATAATAATACTTTAAAAACCACAAAAACAATAGAGTCATTTTTACCGTTTCTTTTCTGTGCATCAGTCTCACTGCATGCTGATCCTGTCAACATTAAATTTAAATTGTGTCTAAAAAAATGTTAACAACTGAGAGGAATGTGTAAACGATGTTAGCAAAATAAAAGTGTTTTGTTGGGATTTTTTCAAGTACACTTCGCTGCAGCATGCAGAACCAAGTACACTTCGCTGCAGCATGCAGAACGGGGCGGTGACAGACCTTTCCGTCAGTCCCATACCTTATATGGAAATGGGACTATTGCATTCCGGAAATGAAGGTTGCGCGGGATTAAGAGAGCAAAGAAAGAAGTTAGAGAGTTTCTTCTACTCACGTTGAAGTACTCA